CGTACGCGGATAAACCATACCTATTCATCTAATCATACACACTTTGGCAATTTCATTACTATTAAAAGTCTACCTTCTCCTCGTCACAACCACAGTACCTCTAGATCGCGGCCCTCGCCGAGTCGCGCGTGATGATGGTAAGGACAGGGAGGGAAGACTTGGAGCCGTGTTGAGTTTCGGCCGAGCAACCTCGTCTTCCTCTGATTTCTGAGATAAATGAGCCAGCGAAAGCCCCAGGCTTTTACTCGGCGAGAACCAACTGGCGCCGGTCGCAATCTTGTTCACCGCACAGAACACGCGCTCCAGTCGGAAATACGCCCCGATCTCGGGCCGCAGGAGTGCTCCAGCGGATTTGCATCTCGCCAAAATCGCCGAGGCATCTGTCTCGCCGAGCAGTGCCGTCCAACGCCGCCATATTCGGCAGTCATTAGACGCGAACGTGTAGAATATGGCCTGCTGGGGGAGAAAATACCGGAGGCCCCGCGGGGAGAGTAGGTGATACAGCAGGTTGTCTACCGCATACCCTAAGAATGGATACGACGATGTGACGAGATTGCGCTGGTCCACTACATTCCTCCGCCACGTGGGTGACGTCTCCAGTGACAAGGCACTCTGTTTCGGTTCCGGGGAGTGATTCCCGCTCACCAGGGGCGACAGGTCCGATGTATTCAGGTACACCAAGATCGTACGGAGAAGGCTGTAGTGGCAGAGGTCGACCGCCTCGTGATCGGGCGGCGTGGTTGTTGCTCGTCCCGAAGACAGCGCAGCGAAGCCCCTCCCGGACAAGAAGAACGATCTGACAGAGTCGCTGATGGGATAAACATGCTGGAGTCCTAGCGACTGCTGCGCACTGCCCTCCGCATCCGATGGCCTCGCCTCCAGGAGACCGCGGGTCCGGGAGCAAAGCCATTGGTGAAACTGGGACGGTGTGTCGAATTGCTTGCCCGGCTTCTGCAGCTCTTGCATCGACCAAGGTAATCCGACATCCAACGCGGTTTCCGGATCGCAGCAGAGCAGGAAATTCGTTCGGCCCAAACGAATCGCCATTCGCAGGTCATTGAGCACCATAGGCTCCGGTGACAACATAACCCATCTCATGATTGCCGTAGCATCCGCCTTTTCTTTGGACGAGAGGGTCCCCAACGTCCATTCATATAGCCCGTATAGACTTGTGGGAAGCTCCCCCAGTACCTGGTCCACGAGGTCCTGGAGGTCCTGCGCTCCACCACTATCAATAACTTCGTTGAGTAGGTTTGTCACAAGTTGTGCCCATAAGAAACTACTCCCAGCCTTCTCGACAATATTTTTCACCACGACAGACCGCTCCTCCCAACTTGTCCTCAGATGGGACTGTACTAACCATGCAATATCTTCGAGGTTATGATCTTCGAGTTGTAACTGAGTTATATTGGCTGGAACTGGTTCGCTAACTGGTCGACTGGCTAGACACACACTGAAATCCGAGCTCCGTGCTATTCGACATAGGCAGTACAGGAGTTCCCGGATATACTCGTCTTCGCAACTATCTTCTGCATCGATCAATATAAACGTCCTTCTCGCTAACGTCCGGGGCTTTCTTGTAATATAGTCATCGAGAAAGAATCGAGTCAAATCTGTGTCATTTATGTCACCCTCGCACGCACCGGAAAGTCTCTCGCGAAGATTCGGGTCATGCACGAAGAGCTGAGAGAGGAGGGAACGGATTGTCGTTATCGATCGCATACTGCCCAGCTTTGACCCCGATGCAAAAATTCGGTCGAAGCTTTGGCCTTCTGCGGTGCAGTATATAATTGAGGTTGTAGTAGGTTTCCATTGCTTTTCCATTTGGCACCGAACATGCCGTAACTGGGTCGACTTACCAGAGCCTGGAGCACCCGTCAGCCAGAGTATTTGCTCATTGCTACCATCCTGGCGACGATACCAATCGCAGAACTCCTTTGTGCTACATATTCGTCTGCATGTACCCAGGGAGCCCTCTCTGAGAGCTGACCGGGGGCCCCTGCCCCTAACTCGGTGACTCTTAAGTCGCTGCAAACAGCCTAACATAAGTTAGCCTGCGCGTAGAGAATAGGAACGTCGTGGTTACGTACTTATATCTTCCGCGCTGAGCCCTCGATGCTATCATCCCTCATTAGTCATAAGCACCAACAGAGATTCCACAACTAAGTGCTACCTTAAGTTTTTCATCCTTCACGATATCTTGGAGGATCTTTGACAGTGATTTGAAACCAGCATCACTCGCCGATTTGAAGTGACACATCGTGCGATGATGCGCAGGTAAGCTCTCTGCATCTTCTCTCGCGTCCCCAAACTTACTCGCCTCAGTGCGACTGTTCTGGCCAGATACGTAAGCTCGTTTTCAGCTATAACTTGAAACAGGGTAACCCACGATTGACCTATCTGTGTCGCCCTGTCGTTCCTGATACGTCTTAACCACAAAGTTGAAATGGTGCCACAACCGAATAAACGAGTCCTGTGCTTCGCACCATCTAGGATTGTTTACGCCACATAGAGCGGAGAATGCCGAGCTCTCCGTTTTGCCACTGAAGGACGCCTCTGCCATTGACGCCACTGTGTCTGCCAGCAGCTCTTGCTCCACAGCCCGGTGCGGACAACCAAAGAATATAACCGCGGCTGTAGAGCTCAGTATGTCCAGCTGGTTTTTCGTATTGCTGAACTCGGCCTGGCGCAGCACCTACGGTAACTATAAGCATTTCCACGTATAATCCGTGCCCAAGAACCCACCTCCTTCACAACAATTCCGCCAAGGGAATGCGCAATGAGAACCAGGGGCCTTTGTTGCACATCAGGACTATCTCGAAGATCTCCAAGCTCCCGAAGAAGGTCCTTCGCGTGGGAGAAGAGATCGGGCTGAGCAACAACCGGCACATTTCCACTGCGGAGAGTGTGGTACCCCCAAGTGATCACACGCGCCTCCGGACAAGCCAAAGGTAGTAAGTCCCGTGGCCAGAAGACTAGAGAGGACGCATTCGAATCAAGCTGCCGCGTATTTTCCCGCGGGACCGTAACCGATCGATATTTCTTATCCGAAGATCTCGTTCTCTTGAGTAGAAGCTTCAATGACCCGTCACGCGCGAGTGGGTCCGTTTTCGTTCGCGTTCGAGTAGTAGATGCTACGCTGTCGTCGTACTGCCAGCTTCGTATCAGATGTCCTCCTAAACCATGGACGAAGACAACGCTGAGAGGGGATCATAAGCTCGTGCATCTCTAATAAGATACCGGAATAAGAAAGAACTTAACCTACTCGACCAGCGTGTTGTCGCTCTTTTCTGGTTCATAAAGTACATGAAGACCGACCGAGGGGGTCCCCTCTTGGAGTGGACTCATGACGGCGAATCACGGACGACCCCTTCGATTCGTCTGAGAATCAGATCTGTCTCAAGACAATATCACTCCATGTGCGATTTCAACGCATTGGCACAATAAATTTCAACGATAATGTCCAGTTAAAATATAGTGTGCCGCCAGCACTGCTTATATCCGACGAGCATTAGGCAGCTGGTGCCTGATCCGAGGTGATGTGATCTGGCATGCGAGCTGTTGATGGTGGGGGTCAGGGTTGTATGGCATGCTGGCAGGTAAGAGACAGACGTGTGCTCCAAAGAAAACGAAGAGACAGAGCAAACAAATCGTCCGCCTCATTCAGCAAATCCCCCTGAGCAGTAGACTTGCCTCATCCGTCTCTGTCGTTTCCAGATCTCATATATAATCTGTGCCGTGTCGCCATAGCCTGTCCGGCTGATTGATTGGCCACCCGCGCGCAATAAGGATAAGCCTGGCTTTTAAGTACCAGGTAAGTAAGTGTCACAACAAAGCCAGGTAGGTAGGTAGGGATTCCCGACGGACCATACATAGCCAGAACCAGGATCCATATCAACGACGTCTTCTCTTCGATCAACAAAGATAGCGCATCTACCATCGCGTCACCGTCTCATCTCGTATTGTCGGGATACACTGTGCGATGTCCCGAGACGGGAATGTTTTACCTCTCCTCTCTTCGCCTAATCAAAATCTCTCCCGGCTTTCTTCCCCCATGTTGCTTGCGGCTGAGGTCAGATCGATGAGCTTGTTCGACATTGCGTTTCAACTCGTCGGTTCGATGGTCATGTATCGCGCCTCTCGGCATCCCAAACCCGGAAGAGGAATGTACCACAGGTCTGATTAGCAACATAACCACTTTACTGTCGTCTGATCTCCCTAGAGGTATGAGACTTCATCAGATACGAAACCATCGCCCCCAAGACACTGTCACTCGCGAAGGGCCCGGTCGGTCGCACGCGTTCCGCGCGCTGCAAAAATGGTCTCTTATGTGTGCTATCGCCGCTAATCTTCCCAGCCTTGATTGATTTACATGCGCCTCTCTGTATTGGGTCATCCTGTCTTTGCCATCGCCCTCCCTTTTTTTCACCGACCGGCCAATCAGCCACTGAACCCGGCCACCAACGAAGCCGAAATCATGGACGAGCGCTGATGAACCAAGTATCTAAGGAGATTGTGAATAAATGCTGCGCATATGTGAGTAGTTATTCTAGGCGAACGTGTAGCTCGTACCTTGTATTAGGTCGTTAGGTAGGAAGAATTAGGTGGCAGACATCTCATGGGAAGATACTAAGCTATGTTACCATTTCGCACTTTGGGAATGCTGTTATCTTTTCGAATTATCCGTAACCTATGGGAATTACGTACATACCTACGGACCATCAGTCATAGATATAGTTTTCAGATGCAGAAAACATTTTACCAGATGGCCGTGGAACGCCGTAGTTGGATTCATACAAATGATATGCTGGAAATACGTAGGGAAATAAATTTGGTGACTTAGCTGGCGATTGTTACGGTATAGTATCGCTTCCTGTGACCGTTTAAGAAGAAGAAAATCTGTCTATTATTGCGTATCTCGTTACCGCTCGCTTCGCTCTCTGTAGTATAGTCTTGATAGCTTATCGTTGAATGGCTTAGTCATACAAGTCAATTAACAGTCTCGATTGGTCTAGTGGTCAGGATACCTGCTTGTCATCCTATGATTCCGTGCACCTACATATACTTGGCGTGGCTTTGTTTCACCGTTGGGACAATTCGCAGGTGGCCGGGGTTCGATTCCCCGATCGAGAGTTTATATTTTGCCCGGTGTTTCTTCAATTCATTAGCTCTGACTGTCTTCTTGTTCTTTTTACTGTTTTTCCCATAGGCCTTATATAAGACCGCTCTTATAAAGCACAATTAAGTCCTTTTTGGTTGGGGGGAAATGTGGCTAAAAAGAGTGTATAGTAAGGTACTAGTTATCCCTCCTAGTCTTCCTTCCCTTAACTTATACTCATCGTGACCATATAGCGTATTTATTTCTATTGGTCTGATTCCCTCCACTTCATTCCTACCCCCTTCAATAGTTGTTTCACTCTCTCTTTCCTATACCCCACTTTCTATCCCCTCCCCAGACAATAAACAGAAGTAAAAAGCCGTGCGCGTACCCGCTAGAACCCCAAGATCTCGTTTGCTTTTCGTATGGCCTCCCTAGCACCAGGACCGTCTGATTCCGCCGTGGCAATCTTCTCAAAGCCGAAAGCCCGCAGGCCTTCTGAGTCGGCATGCGTCCGAAGATAGGACTCCGTAGGCCGGTTCACATGTTGTGATTCGCCTTGTCCGCCAGGGAAATCCGGAGCGGGGGTGCCGTCTAAGAAAGCTTTTCTCTGACGCGCAAGGTATCGGGCGTTTTGTTCGGTAACGGGGCATACCGGGATGTAAAGCACACTGGAGTCCGACTGCCCACCGTGGGCCTTGTCGACGGCATGAATGGCTGAGTTAGATAGTATGTTAGTTTTGCACTGTCTCGAGAGAAGAAAGCTGAGAACTCACTGTCACAATGCCACAAGACGAAATCACCCGGCTTGACTTCAGGCATGTGCACCATACTCGTGTCAAGCTCAAGGTGTGGGTGGAGGTCCGTATTCAGCTCTTGTCCCTTGCCCAGTATTGCTCCATGTAACTCGCTCGTCATCTCGGAGCCAGCGAACACCCAGTTGTCTTCCGACAGGTACTCTTCAGCGGACACACCCTTTGGCTCCTTCACAGGTTTAAAGAAGGGGCGGAGGAGCATGTATGCGGATGACGGTCGAAGCAGGGGATTCACTAGCAGGGTGCCCTCAAAACCTTTCGTGTAGCTCATGCTTAGCCATCCCTGGAACATGCGGAACATCGAACACGCACCGAGTCCGTTGTAGTTGTCCATATTGGCGCTGACTCTAGTGCTGGCATCCCATGGGTCGTACTCCTCCCACGAGCCTTCGAACACCTTGTCATAAACGCCACCGAGCCCATAACCGTTCTTTTCCCACCGTTCGACGCTGCCTCCATCAACATGAGGGCCTAAGGCGAATTTTGTATCGCCAGGTTGTCTGATTCGTAGACGGTCGGCATAGGCAAGAGTCTGTGATAACGAGATAGAGCCCTCGGGGTTTGACGACTGCCAAACATTCATGAGTGTTGATTGTACCTTCAAAAGATTTGGGTGTGCTCGTGCGCGAATCTGGGGACTCGACCAGTATAGCTCAAACACTTGAGGGTTGTCCTGTGGGAATGCTACTCCTACAGTTAGAGAACTGGCTGAAAAGGGTATGGGTGGTGATGTGCCTTTTGTCGAGGGATTCTGTCTGACATATTGTTCGATATCGCTCTTGTACTTGCGGGCTTCATTCTCGGGTATCACACCCCTGATGACGGCAACACCCCTCTTCTTGATCTCTGAGCGCAGTCTTGTCAAGTCATCCTCCAAATTTGCAAATTGTAGGCTTGGTATGACTTTCGACCCTTCTTTTGCTAGTAGACTGTTTTCTTGTTTAAGCTGGGTAAGGAGCCTCTGCCAGCTTGCAATGACCCGATCCTCGCGTCCGGCTACCAACGATTTCTTGAGGTCGAGGAAGCGTTCTGGCAGCGGCGGCGCATTTCCACCGGATAATGAGGCAAAGGCATCAGAAATATCGCCTTCCCTTTTCGTCTGGTGCTGGTTAGAAACCATTGTAGTCATGTATCGTGCCGGACTGGATCTCAAGATTGTCGGGTTAGATAACAAGATGGCAGCGGGTATGGGCCTTGAAACAGGTTATACTAGTAAATGCATTCTCATTGAGCCCTCTGCGATTGCTATTCCACCTATCAAGAAAGTTTATATAGATATGTATATACATAGAAATGTGTCGGAATAGCCTCTGCAATGGAGGGTGGTATATCTGTGTCGGAGTGATGATGACGGACATAGTCTTGAGTTGTACGCGGAGTGATGACGGACGTCGTCTTACCTGTGCAACTAACTAATGACGGAAAACAGCGGGCCACTCTACCAGCACGAAAAGCACGTCTTACCCTCCCCAGGCCGGCGAGAAGTACAAGATGATCATCGTCAGCGGCCCATGGTCGGAGTTTTGCTACTAGTAAGTAGCCGTCACGCATACCTGAAACTGCACAAGAAAGCGCAATCTGTCACTATATAGCTAGATTTAGCTTACGGAGGTGGTTTTAGAGAACTTCACGTAATAATAAGTGCCTATGACCTACTAATGGTAGGTAACTTCCTTGATAGTTTGCTGCACCGTCACAATTTCATAAGGCTATAAGGAGGGAACGAAGGCGAGTGCGCGGACTAGCCGCTTCCAGTAAGCCCGCCACGTCGGAGTTGGCGGTGGAAACGGGGTCCTCGATAGAACGGAGCAGATAAGGTTGGATGGTCATTCATGAGCTTTGCATCTAACCTGGTATTCCGAGCAGAGTCTGCTGTTGAATTTTTTTGTATGTAAAGTGAATGAATGCCTACCCGATTTGTCTCACCTGGATCTGGAGAGACGGCGGAGATGACGGATTAGGTCATCACCGCTCTATTCCAGTCTAAGTCTAATCTTGGGATATTCATTCCGTCGCTGTCTGTCGAGCCATGGTCAGATTCGTGGAATCAGACACAACCGGCTTGCCGCTCAAACGAAAACAAGTCGCACATGCCTGCGAAAAGTGCCGTCGCCGGAAAAAGCGATGCATCCACACAGACCCAAAGCTACACGGCGATCCGTCTCCCGCTCCATCGCCCGACAAGTCTTCGGCAGCGCAGAGGTCGCAGCCTTCGCACCCCTCGCCCAGCAATCGGAGCAGTAAAACGCACGTGTCAACTCCGAGTCTTTCCACCGGCGACACACGGCCAGCCACGCCCATTGTCCAGAATGGGGGGCCAGAGAAGCGCGGAGACGCCCATCCTTCGGCATACTACGGTGATTTAAACCCAGAGGCCATCCTGATGGAGGCCACAAGCCTGTGCTCCAAACGTGATGTCTCGGCGCCCGGTGGCCTTGGCATTTGGCAGGCTCCCATTGCTCCTCGTGCGAACACCCAGAGCTCGAGCGTTCCGAGTGTGCAGTCGTCCTCGCGACGGGCGGTTCAGGATATGTTGAGGTCGTATCTGTGGAACCACTGCCTGCCGTGCCGCGCTCCGGCATCCGACTATGCGGTATTGAGACGTATATACTTTGAGAAGATGAACCCTATATTTCCCATCTTCGAAGACCCCTCAGTATCCGGTGTGCCGGATGAACCAACGGATGTCCTGGTTCAGCAAGTGATTAGCCTTGCGGCCGCTGCGGACCCCGAGGCTACTCAACATCTTCGTGTGAGCCCTAACGGCCCTCTCCTCTCCCGCCAGGAATTCTGCGCCTCCCTTTCCAATTCCGTGTTGACGACACTGGAAGCTGGAATTGTGGCGGACCGAGTTTGGCTCACTCGCTTGTCAGCTGCTTTGTCACTATACACGCAACCCACGAATGCCGAAGAAGCTGACATCCCGGCCCTCTTAAACAGTCGCGCTGTTCATCAAATGAACACACTTGGACTTCAGATGGCGGTAGACGACGGGCATCCGAAGAGAAACATGATTCGGACCATTTTCTGCTGCTTATGGGCGCTTGATCGCATTACAAGTGCATTCTACGGCCGTGCTTGTTTAATACACGAACGAGACGTCGGCTGGGACATAGATGATTGCATCCGTGCCCAGGCGCCCCCTTTCCGCCTTCTTCTCATGATCATTAATCTGCTCGATAAAGTAATTGGATTATACCGCCCCGGAACCCGGCCGAGTAAACCTGTTCTCATCGAATTACCCATATTCGAGCAGATGGTCCTGGATGCGGAGGCATTAAGAATGACGAGTTCTTGTCTCGGTAAGTTAGGTACATAGTAAAATAGAGGACAAGCCCACTAATTTTATATCAAGCTTCTCTGGAGATATTCTATCACTCAGTTGCCATCTTGTCGGCCCAGTCGCCAGCTGATTTAACCTCATCTACCATGCCCAACCCCGCGACCAACAGCCGGAGATCTCTGGCGGCAGATCGCATTACGTCGATAATTAGCGAGGAGTTTGCCGGACAGCTCTCGTATATGCCACTTATACCGTACGGGGTGTCGCTGTCTCTTAGTGTGTCGTATAGGAAAATGCGGCATAGTAAAGTCCCCATGTTTAGGAATCGCGGTAAACAGGCCTTCCGAAAGAACATACTACTCTTGAAATCGATGGACGACATGTTTTGGAAGTCGAAAACCATGGTGGCCATGGCAGAGCAGGTTCTCAACGAGATGGACAAGGCAGTCGCATCGCTCGCTCAAGAGAATGGGCTGACAGATCTCTCAAAGAAAGCCGAGTCAGTACCACAGGGTGAGCGTTCTCAGGTACAGCCGGAGGAAATCCGGGCCCTAGACTGTGCACATAACGCGACGGACGCGGGTAGCGAGTGGACGCTGTTTGACACCGTCCCTGATCTAGATTTATTTGGACATTTTGATCCGACGTTTGATCTGGGAGCCGTTGACGCTGCGCTTGAAGGCAATTTTGATTTTGGAACGTCGACGAATTGGTTTGATTGGCAGCAACAAGTGGGATGATATATGAAGTTTTTAGGGTTTCCCACGGGCACACAAGCCGTTTTACAGGGCATCTGTTCGCACACATCGGAAAGTTACGTCTCTCGTCGCTTGCTTGATATATTAATATATCTACCAGGTGTGCAAGACACACCGAAGGCATTGGTCTAATGTAATGATTAATCCTCGAAATACCAACTCAAGACCACGCAAAAATT